TACATCGTTGACACTAAAAGATTCACTTAACATTCTTTACTTCTTGTGCTACTCTATCTATTGTTATATGTAGAGAGGAAAAGTTTTTTGTATATTACAATCCTCGTTAAATAAATTAATTAAACTACTAATAGTTAGCTTTACAGTACACTGCAAAACTAAATCCACTGTTTTGTGCTGATATTCTGTGAAACACTTGAAATTATACAGTCATCTCGATATTGAACAATACTGATAACGTTATCAGTACTATTCTTTTTTCTTTCTAAAAGAAAAAAACACAAAATTAGTTTTGTGTTTTTCGGTAGTTTTAGTTTAGAATACTATGATGAAATATTTTCCGCTTGTATTCTGAAAAATAAAGCTTATATTATAGCAACAAAATTAGATATGAAATATGTAAATTAAATGTTGAAAAACTGTTTTGTACATCAGAAAAAAATGATATGTAATTTATTGAATATTTATTAAAAATTGCATGAGATTTAAGAACATTTAATAAGAAAGCTCAGTTAGAATCGGCATACTTGAGATCGTTAGTTCACAAATTTAAAACGCCAGTGGTTTGTTATGATCATATAATACAATAAAGCGAGGTTTCGACATTCTATCGAACAAGACCATAACATGACCAAAGTAAACGTTGTTCTGAAATGTGTCTCTTGGGTTCTGCACACAAAACTGTGGTTATGAAAAACGTTTCTTGGATATGAACCGCATATTTACTGGGTTGGTTTATTTGCTTTTGGAGATTTTGTTTTTGATTAAGTTTTAAAATTTACGGCAAAATAATCAAATTATTCCAAAAATTTTAATAATACGAAACCTAATTTTTTTTGATTTTAAAACTAAATATCGATCAAACAAAAAAAATGTTGTGCATCTGATAGAGAATTTCAAGCTCTACAAAATTCGCATATAAAATTCTGATAAAATTTTTCCACATGAGCGTGAATTTTGGAAACAAGGGGTGCTGATAGAAGGAAAATTTCTGAAATTTCGTCAAATACTTTGTCGTTTATTTAAAAAAGGTAGTTCTAAATAAGACAAAGCTAATTATCATAATCAGCGATGAAAACTCAGTTAAAAGAGTGTTTTTCCCAAGATTTCCCAAACAGTTAGTTTGGACTAACTTTCGCTAAAAGTCAGCTGTTTTCACACTGGAATATACTTCTCACTTTCTAGTATTTTGATTTTTTCTCGACAACTACTAGGAGTCATTGCATGAGAGAAACAACAAGTCATGCTCAATCGATGTCTCAGATTTGCTTCTGACTAGTCCTGTCTTATTCAACATGTGTGAAAACCTATAAATTCAAATTTTGAGCTTTCCAGGACTTTTACTTTCTGAGTTCTGGACGGTTTTCTAGAGTCCGCTCGATGGAAAATTCAGTGTCTAGAAAATGGAGAGAAAAAATAGAGATTCTATTTCTCCGCGAAGACGCGTGATGGAACAGGGATTTTTTCATCCTATGTGGTCCATTGCATGGTCTATCTGATAATGCGATCAGATCGTTTTTACCTCGGACCTTCAGCCAGACAGCGAAGGTTTTCTGAGGATCTCAGAAGTTCATATTGTATGACGCCGTTCTCGAGTGTGTGGCTTAAGTATAAAACGAGATGCGCTTTTTCATAGACATCCAAGTGTGGACTATGCGAATCCAGTCTTAAAAGTTTGGCGTCTTGTAAGGATCCCTGGAAAGCCTTTGGGGGCTTCTAGAAAAAGTTTTTAAACTACATAATTGGAAAGAGCACAAAATTTTGAACAAAATGACGTATTGCTCATAATTTTAGCATTATTTTAAAAAGATAAAAAATAACAGTTGTTCAATTAAAAATGGTTTACCATAAAAACCTAATTTTTAGGTTATCGAATTTATGACTTAGAAACTATGAGTGATATATAAATATTACCATCGTAACTGATAAAGAAACTAAAGACGAATTGACGTATGATTTTGAACAGTCACGCGATGCTATTGTTGAGCAATCGCGCCATATAGTTCGTTGAGTCCAGCAAAATACCACCAAAGCAAATGATATTAAAAATTTGTCAGATGATTGTGCCTACATGACTATAGATTGGGCTCAAAAAATACTACGTACAGAGCATAGAGAAGGGCAATCAAAATATTTTGGCAAAAAGGGCATGTCTGTACTTGTTGGATCATTCACGATGAATAACCCAGAAATAGCAGGTAATATTTTTTGGAGATCTTCTCTTCTATTCGTGAAAGTTCTCGATCTTTTAGACAGCTATAAAACGTAATAACATGGTATAACATGGTAGCTCTCACACGATGTCGCCAAAACGAGTTGGATACATTATCCGGCGGTCATCTAATAGCAACGTAGCTTGCGAAACGTCACCCACAAATCAAGAAACTGTTAAAAAGATCAGACAATGCGAGTGTTCTTAGTGGACATGCGACGCCTTAATCCGAAAGAATCCTACATAACAAAATTGGACTCCAATTACTTGTGAGAGATTATTCGGAGGTCCAATCAGGCAAGGATGTATGCGATCGCATGACCGGTAGTGCAAAGATGCGTAAGGGAGCATTTGTTGATGCTGGTAACAATGTGTTAAATGCTAGTGATATCAAAACTGCTATGGAATACTGTGACGGCATAAAAAATCTTTGGATTGCGGTCGCTAAAAATGATCAAACCGCAGTTATCACAGAAAAAACTATTTTGCCGGAAATCAGTTCTATTAGAAGCATTCAGTACACTCCGAACGGTATGGTACTTGGAAAATCATCTGGTATCGGGGATGGATTATTTATTCTGTATTCTAATCCAACGGTCAAACCAAATATGAAGCTTATCGAACCGTTTGAACCGGCACCCACGCCTATAAGTCGACGGTTAAACAACAATAAACAGAGATCAAAACCACGAATAGACCGTCAATATAATACTTATTACTTTTGCCCGGTTGATAATTGTACGAAAGTGTTCCAGTCTGAAAATGAACTGCTTGAACATATTGCTGTTGGTCTCCACGAGGAGGAAAGCTCTACTGACAAAACATCGGACGACATTGCACGTCTTCAATTATTCCAAAAACTACAGCACACAAATCTATCAACACTGACTAGTACACAACCGCAGGTGACGAAAATGACGACAGATCAGCCACTTCTGCCGAAACATATGATTTACTTTGAGGGTGAAGGTCACTGCCTTCGTCCGAAACGGCAAAACAAAGCGATTGATCCAGATATTAAATTATTTCTTAAGAGTATGTTTGACGAAGGAGAGAAATTCGGACATAAAGTAACGAGTGATGAAGCGGCAACACGTATGCGAAATGCGAAAGGAGGATGGCTCGAAACGATTCACAACAAAACAATATATAACTGGAAAACAGGTACAAAATCAATTTGCTCAGATAAATTCTAAGAGGAAGAAGACTAAATCCAGTGTAAATCCTTCAACATCAATGGATGACGATGTATCAGCAGAAACCAAATCGAAAATAAATTCTCAGAAGTGTCCGAATGCTGATTCAGCGAGAAAACAATTTCTTGAGCATTTAAGTGACGAAGAGACAGCTGATATTAACCCACCAGCGAAAAAGCAGCGATACTCATTAAGAAATCATCGAACGAAAGACAATACATCAATATTAGAAGGCACTTTAGACGATGATTTCATGGTGAAATCCACGGTACGAAGTTCGGCACGGATACATATACCGACGATCCGTTCCAAACCACTTAAGAATAAAATTCTCGTCGAATCGTCTGACAGTGACTATGATGACGAGGATGAGAAAGCTTGGACGAAGATACGTGTAATTCAGGCAGCAAAACGACGTCTTTTAACTTAGATTCAAATCTACCTGACACCAGTGATTTCACTGCATTCTAATTTTCCTTTAGAACGTACAAGAATTCGATCTCTACACGAAGCAATGTTTTCATACTAATAGTATATTTAATTCTTATTTCTATAGAATATTATTGATCGCTTTCTCTTAAAACTTCTTGAAGACATGAAAATATAAGTACAAAAACATATAACTTTAATTAATAATGTTTAAAGACTGGGGTTCGCTAACCGCATATAGCGGCATATGTGCAGGAGAAAATCGGCAAAGTTATAGAATTTACAAGGAAAGCCTTAAATTATTTCTGTGGCTTTGAGCTGACAATGAAAATTTAGGGCTTTTCTTGTAAATTCTATAACTTCGCAGATAGGTCACGTAGAGGTTGGATATGTCTCATTTTGATCATAATTTCATGGGCTACAATCGTGACTTAAAGGGAAAGTTTCGAAGATTTTTCGAGTTTTCTGGAAAACCAGTTTTCTAGAAAACCGCTCTAGAAAGGTCTGGCGGTCCGTCTGATATGGATATTCGGAATCGGCGTGGTCGATAACCTATAACCCACTAGGTTTGGTGAAAAAAGCGATTGATCAGTTAGATATGTTCCCTCGTAAGTCAACTTCAAAAAACGGATTTTCAGAGACCTTTTCCAGAGCCATATGTAAATCCTCCAAAAAACGGCTTTCAGGCATGAATAGTATTGGGTCCATAGATTACAGCGGCATTATAGTTCCAACATTTGGAACACTATCGGACGAGAAAATCGACTGGAAAGTAGGCCATTTTTCGTTTTTCTATCGACTTTCGAGCTCAGCCGTACATCAACCAAGAGACTTGTATGGATCGATTTCATAATTTATAGTACCGGTTTACTTGTTTACTTGTACAATGGATATAAGTAACACTCAAGGCAATAGGAAAGCTTTAAGGTTAAGAAAAATTACGTCAAACTGTTCGTCTCAGCAAGATTTTACCATCTTGTGCGTATATGTTCGCACATATGTAAAACTTATTTTTGCATATGCTCTTGATTATAGATAGTATTCGACCTCGACTACTTATGCTGCAAATACGAGCTCTTAATCAACTTCCTAGACCAAGATATAAACATCAGAAATTTGAGTTTTATTCAAGTATTGTTTTAGGCTATTTTTAGGGCTTTTACCAAAAGCTCTATAACTTTTTAACGAAGTACGTCCAAACGAAAAAATTTTGAGAATCTTTCTATATATGTTGCCTCTACATATGGTAAAATTCTGAGCCCAAAACCCAAACATCGATTGAGCAACCGGTACGCAAAAAAGCTGTCTCGCTCGTGTAGTGACTCTTAACACTCTTGATTGGTTCTACCATTTATTTAATTTCATTTTTATTTAGAATATAGAAATGAGAGATAATTTATCTCATTTGAGAAACACAATATCTTGCCAAAATATTCGTTTCTCAAAAGAGTTACTTTTTAATTGATGAAAAGAGATACATTGAAAAATATGGATTTGTATCTCATTTGAGACGTAGCCATAATAACATTTGTCACATATTAATATATGTTTTCTCGGCTATTTTTTAACATTAATATAATTAAATAATTATTTAAGAGGAATAAAAGAAAATATATCTGGTCGTTTTTCTGTTATCATCGATATTTTATTTATATTGGGCGGCAACTAATTTGACAAATAAAAACTTTTGTACTTTATAATCAATGTTAGACCATAGAATCACAACCGATTTTTAATATAATCAAATGTTTATTCTAGATGCTAATATTACTGCTCCTAGATGATTATGTATTGAAAACTAGTCGTTTTCCAAATCATCTAATTTTATTTTCATTCATATACATTTTTCATATTTTCTTCTTTGCATTAGGAACATTTAAAAAAAAATTTTTTCCTTTCTTGTAGGTTCAACGATGTTATATTGTCATGTAGAACAACATCTTCGACTTGCAATTCTGCGATTGCTATTTCTATCTCGTCAACCAACCTGTCAAATTCGATATTTACACTTAATATTTCTACTTCTTCAAACGTCATACAGCCGAACGGTCAACCTCAAGCTGCTTCAAGCCCTGTTTCTGGTCATGACCAGTAACCTTTCTTAGAAATCATTCGTTGTTAAGTAGATATTTAATATTTCTGGTATTAACGACAACTACAAAATACTTCATTTCGTTTTTAGGTTTCCCTGGTCGAGCAGCATTATCCCAGACCCAATTATTTACAGAATCATATCCTTCTCATAGAATTCTATGCCGTATTTTGCCTCTATTTCACTTTTAGAAACAAATAATCATGACTTACGAGTGAGCAGATAGTAGTTTATTTTTGTTAAAGTTGAGACCAATGTAACTGGCTGTATATTATTTGTATACTATCTCTACTTTAGGAACTATAATTTCGTACAACATGTGTCCATAGATATACCAGCAATAATTTGACAAAAAAATATGAGTTTTATATGAAAAACTTGTTTAAGATTATTGTGATATACGTGTACAACGGTGTCCGTGTATATTTTATTTTTTTTGCTGTTAATTCACTTCTTAGTAATTGATTACACTTGTAATAGCAATATTTAACATATTTTGCTTCCTTATCGAATATATTTATTTGACCAATTATTTTTGAATTACCAAGCTTATTCATAGGATACAGGCGACTAAACACAACGTTGAACATATTATGCTTTGCATGAAACGTTGAAATTGAGTGTCTGGTAATTAAAGCAAAACTGTTGTAATCATATATTGTATTAAAAGTAATTATTATTATTCATTTTTAGTTGATAAATTTTCTAACGTATCCGTAAACTAGTTTTTCTGCGAATACATTTATGTCATTCGATTTACAGGCATACATTGTATGTGCAGTAACTGATTTTAGGCAAAATCCCAAGCATTCGGTATTTCTTTGTCGCTAAATATATGAATAAGAGGTAAACGATTTCATGCTTACATTGTTCAGCAAAATCCAACCCTTCACTTCCTCGTAATACCGAATGGAAACGTCTTTGACGGCTAAAATGGGCTCTGGTAAAGCTTTTCAGGACTAGGCATCTGAATTGCGTTTCCAAATGACTCTGAAAACTACAACTGAAGAACCCATTCCGGGCAACAAAATACATTGAAAAGGTTTTTTATAATGCAATTCTCTCAATTATTGACTTATATGAAGCGTATTTCTAAATAATGAAGTTGCAATTAATATCTGTTCTTTTTTAGGTGTCCCAGGTCGAGCAGCATTATCCCAAACCCCATTACTTATTCCAGTAATTTTAATTCTGTTGGTAATCCATAGTTTGAGGATCCTAATTTTGACTGAAGCTATGTAATCAGCCTTTAACACTGATTATAGAGCTATCGTCCTACAACGCCAAATACGGCTTTCTTGTTTTGTTGTTGATATTGTTTTACAAGATCGGTTTTTAAAATTTTTGAATAGTTTGCCAACTTTTAAGAATATGTACCGAGGAGCTGATTAATATTTGTATTAATTCACGGTAATATAAAAGACAGACTTGCATTGTATCATTGTCAACCAAATGTGTACTGTGCTTCAGTGTATTATTAAGGACTTCTATTATTTTCTGTAGGACTTGTTTTTGTATCTTCGTTTTTCAGTAATGCAGTGTTTGGAATAAATATTTGTAACAATAACTTTTTACCAATATCAGACTTCCTGATTTTATACTGATGATAATCGGTAGAGCCGAAACGTTTATGTTGTTTTTATTTTAATAAATAAATAAACGGAACGAGGTTGCTAAAATTATGCAGATTTCGTGAATATTTAATTTTTTGTTGGTTACTGACTTCGTGATTTTTGCGCGTTTCCTACCAGGGATCGTTATAGACGCGGATGTCCATGGGCCCCATAGGGACGTCTGCGTCACGAGCGTCCACGGACGGAAAACTTTTTGGGAAGGTCGCGCACAGACGCCCATAGACGTTTTTATCTGGCCATGAGCAGAAACGAAAAATTTTTTTTCTTCTTAGAGCAAAGTTCGCTCGTGTTCTCTCTATAGTCGCGCGAAAAATTCGCTCGACAGCTGCTGTAGAACGGATATTTAGTACAGCGGAGCTAATAGTAACTGAACTCCGATGTAAGACAAAAAAGATGGGCAGTGAAGTTTATCTTATTTTATTACGAAAAACCATTTTCGTCCACGGACGCCCTTGGGCAGAACGTCCATCACGGTCCCTGTTTCCTACAGCACTATCATCTAACAGGCTGTCCATCATCATGGTCATTTGAGATACTAACTGTACACATGTTTCTGTATTCTATGTTTCTGTAAGGTCAATAAATTGATGCATCCTTTATCTTGTTCAATGTGTCGTTGCTTCAAACAATTATCTTTTGCCATCGTTTATTCATTTCTATTTGTATCCAACTCACTTGATGTTTACTCAGTTTATTAGTAAGTTGTTATTTTTCATCAACATACTTTTTGCAATTCCAGTTCAGCTAGTTTTTTATATTCTATGGTTGAAGTATTAAGCTTGAAACTGGCCAGTGTGCATTCCGTTTTTGTACATTCTAATTCCAGATAGTTCCTTGGGAACTCTTACGCCAACCTTATAAACAACGTCGGCATAATAAATCACCTTCTTTAATTTCATCTTAATCAAATGTTTCCATTTCGACTATCGTTGCTTCATATCTTAGGTATCTTCTGCACCAGGAGAGGATACACTTTGGCCTGCTCGACTTTCGCTTGCAACGACAAAAACTTATCGAGCTATAGTTTCAGAATAAAAAACCATCGAACAGATGTTAAATTGGGTAATCACTCTTTCTTCTTAGAACAGAGTGAAACTAATGATAAATTCGAAATACCATGAAAACTTTCTGGAAAAAAGATACATTTTCTAAGTAATGGAGAGGAAAAATAATTACAGATTTTTCCGCAGTTTCAAGCTCATGTTTCTCTGTCACTAAACATGGACCTAAAACGCTGCTTTCAGGAAATGTACTAGGACCTTTATGGACTAATATAATGTATAGAGGAATTGAGAGAAAACTCAACTCTGCCAAAAAATGACTTTTTGACGAATGAAAGACATAAAACAAAGACTTTTCTGAAATCCCACTACCCACGCCCCTGTACTATCGTTCCGTCCAGGGACAAGCTACAACTCTGAAAGTTTCATAATTATTCTGCTTCAATTGAAATTATTCAAGTTTCAATTGAAGTTTTTTTAGGTAAAAAGACCATGCGAAACTGCATCGAATGATGTAATTTGGGGTTTAGCAGTGTCTTTAACAAGCAGATTACTAAGAGAAATTTTCTAGAAATCTCTTTTCGTACAATTTAAAATCCTTTTCATCGTCTTTCAACTAATCTGCTTATTAAAAGCATCGCTAAACCTCAAATTACTTCATTCAATGCAGTTTCGCATGCTATTTTTACCTGAAAGAACTTCAATTGAAACTTGAACTAGGTTCGGAAAAATTAAAAAACTTGAAAATTTTAGACGTTGAATTTTTTAAATTATATTTGAAACTGAATTTTACGCACGTGTTTTGAAAGTTTTTTCCCCTTTATAGAGCATCAACTGATCTGTCGAAGTGACCATAAAGACAGACACACTTAGATGCAGAATAATCGCAAAAGTATAAAAATCTTTAAGTGATTTCATAATTTTGGCCACGGAAAATTGGTGATTTTTTACCGAAATTTCTTTTTTCAAAGCTATGAGGTGTATCAGAACTACAGAGCACGCCCGAACCTCTATATTCACAGTAAAACTCGAAAGAACACAGAACGTTATTGAAGAGAGAACTTTAAAAGAAAACAGAACGATAAGATGATCCTATAAATTTGCCAGCACCCTAGCTCCAACAAACGCTCTATACCACCAAGTAATAGCTACTGAGTCTGTTCGATCCAGATACTTTTGCTTAAAAAATAACGCAAACTTCCCCTCTTTAAAACAAAATGATACAGGCTAATGCGAACTGTACGTATGATATCACTAGTGTCACCGAATCCCATCGCATGAAAAGGCGCATTTGTCGACAGAAAAACCCAAAAGTCATTATACCTTCCATCAACACTTCCGACAATAGTCCTACTAATAAAGGCATGAACAGATCCACTTCACCGCCGCTTTTCAAAACAGAAATACGATGAATACATCAACTATTGCTCCCCTGTTCCCTTGATCTCCGCTCATTTCCATAAGAGATATAAATAAATACATCGAAATAGATAAATACATCCACTGTAGCGAGAAAGATATGACCGACGCTTGTTCCCCTGCTCCCTTGATCTCCGCTCATTTTCGGAAGAGAAATAAATAAATACATCGAAATAGATAAATACATCCACTGTTGCGAGAAAGATATGACCGACACTGGTTCCCTGTTCCCATGATCTCCGCTCATTTTCACAAGAGAAATAAATGAATACATCGACTCTTGTTCCCCTGTTCCCTTGATCTCCGCTCATTTTGATAAGAGGAATAGATAAATACATCCACTGTTGCAAATACATCCACTGTCATTTTCGTAAGAGAAATAAATAAATACGTCGACTCTTGTTCCCCTGTTTCCTTGATCTCTGCTCATTTTCATAAGAGAAATAAATAAATACATCGAAATAGATAAATACATCCACTGTAGCGAGAAAGATATGACCGACTCTTGTTCCCCCGTTCCCTTGATCCCCGCTCAGTTTCATAAAAGAAATAGATAGATACATCGACTCTTGTTCCCCTGTTCCCTTGATCTCCGCTCATTTTCATAGGAGAAATAGATACATACATCCCTTCTTGTTCCCTTGATCTCCACTAAATTTCGTAACAGCAATGGATGGATACATCGAGCGTCGTCAGTCGATTTTCTAGGTAGATATTTAACTGTAGAACAGAGGAGATGCATTGAAAACGACTACAAAATGTATTTGTATCCTGCATGACATCTCCGCCAGAGAAAACAAATCGACATCGCCATGATAATCAGGGGGCCAAAAAGCGATGTTTCCATGTAGCTTTCCTACTCGTTTATGCCACAAGAAGAAAGTAAGGGGCTGTCCGAAAATGTGTACCACTCAGCCGCTCTATAAGTTGTAGGTCTCGGATCTGCGTTAGTTTGTAGTAAAAGTGATTGGACCATCTCTTGTAAGTTCCAGAGGATATATTATGCGAGTGTTTTTGCTAGGCACTAGATAGTTTTTAGTCATTTTGGAAAGACGCTCGTTGGCTATGTTTTCCTAAAAGGGACTCATTGTGTCTTCTGGGAAACATGGAAAATTTCAGGCTAGAAAATAGAGCAAAAATCGTCAGTTATAAAGAAAGTTTGAATATTTTCCTACATTAAACTAACGATGAAATTAAAAGCAACAATGGGAAATAATAACTTATCACTAGAGCACTGTGTTGATCAGAAAAGAAATTCTTTCCACTTGAGTCCGTGTAGACGAAAAAAATCAGTTTCTTTCCCGAGACTATAACCAACAATATATGTGTTTTCACCATTTTCCACGCAATCTATATCACTCTATCAATCTCTTCTATGTCTGTTAAATCATAGTTCATACACCTTATCAGACCACACAAGGAGTTTTCTAATCAGAAAACTTCCCCAAGTGTTACAGAGTTTTTTCCTAGACACACATAGTTGGTACAACATATTGGTAATCTTAGAAGCTTATCACAAATATGATATCCATTCTAGCTCTTAGAAAAAACAGCCCCAACTGTCTCGCGAGTTACGCAGTACTCGAGATTCTTTAATTCGATATTTTCGAAAATACCTGACTGTGGGTCGAAAACTGAGTACAACGGCCATAACGTTTGACCAATAGGCTATGGGCAGACAGCCCTTTGGCGTTTTCCTAATCTCATCGAGATCTAATTCTACTGACAATGCAGAGTCGTAACTCGCGAGACAGTTGGGGCGATTCCCTCGTTAGAGTCATCTTAAATGGATCCTTAGAAAACTGATCTCTGACGTTCAATCTTAAAATCCAATTGAGAGAGATTTTCATCTGTCTGTCTTGTCGAGTTACCTGCATTGTCAGACCCAAATATTGAGTTTTGAATTTTAAGAAATTTTACTTTAAAAAATGCGAGAAAAGCGAACACTTTGTAGCGATTTGAATATCATTATATACATAAATATGTATACATTCCTAGTTCTAATTCCAGATAAATGATAAAAACGGCTAAAATTGTTTGTCTTATATTATTTCGTTTATTTTTCATCCTCATCATCATTTGTTTTATAATCCAGATGAACTTCGTATTCAAATACATGTGTATCACCATTTGCTTGTAATTCATTAACGATTTTGAAACCATTTGGTGTTATATTTAATAAATCATTTCTGTTATTTTCACCTTTAGGTGTAACAACAAATTTTCCCTGTATAATTTCAGAATATTCATATTTCATTGAACGTTTTTCTTTTGTATTTTTAATTGATAATTTAATTGAAAATGAGGCACTATGACGTTTTTTGCTTAAAACGTTGACCTCACGATTATATCCAACATCTACTTCTGAACCACATTCTAAGTCATGTTTATCCTTCACACCCATATCTGGTAATTTTGCTTGACCCACTACACGACCATCTTCACGTACAGTACATGTACCTGCTGGTAAAAATTTATCACCTTCAATACGATAGATTCGTTGAAATTTGCCTTTTTGAGTACGCTCAAGAAAATATAATTCCACTTTTGAATATTTTTCCAGTTTAATGTTAACTTCAACAAATGGTAATGAAAATGTACTTTGTGATGCAAGTATAAATGATTGATCAATAGAATAATAATAGAGGCCAGCTATTTCACCTTGTGATTCTATTTTGATTTCTTCGTTACTTCCTCCTAATGCTGAACATTCACAACAGCACGAATAAGATTGTGCCTCATATCTATAGTTGTTTACATTTTGTAGTTTTACATCACCACCAAATAATTCTGTATGTTTTATTTTATAATCACGTTTAGTTGAATTAGTCATGTCAGCCCATGCTTCAAATAAATGTTGATCATTAGTACGATCAACTTTCAAATTGTAACGTGGTGACCATGTTATTCCTTAAAAAAAAGGAAACAAGCACTTTTTATAGTCTTCAATGAAAGATACTTCTTAAACGTAAACGCCATTTTACTCAGTCTTTCTTTGTTCTACTGACACGATATTATATATTGACTATTAACTGCTATCGAATAACTGTTCTTTTGCAAACTACAGGGTTGTTCTAGAATAATCCCATTCAGAAATAAATGCTTAAACATTGTAAAATATTATAGGATCCGTCAAAGCAAATTTCTAGAGATTGGAATTTGCATGCATATCTTCTCTATATTACAGTGTATTTGACAACAATCGAGAATCAGTTTGAGGACTTATAGGGAATCTGTCGAGGTGATAAAACGCCTTTTGATAGAAATCTATTGGGTTATCGATCATGCTGATTTCGAGTATGACCATTCGATTTTCTGGAAAATCAGTTTTTCAGAAACGCTACAAGATAACTAAAACCTTTCTTAATGAAGCACGAGTGTAGCCCACAAATTTCTGATTAAAATGAGACATCTTCCAGCTCTACATGGCCTTTCTTTGCAAAGTTATAGAGTTTACAAGAAAAGCCCTAAATGTTCAGAAAAAATTAATTTAGGGCTTTTCTTGTAAATTCTATAACTTTGCAAAGAAAGGTCATGTAGAACTGGAAGATGTCTCATTTTAATCAGAAATTTGTGGGCTACAATCATGCTTCATTAAGAAAGGTTTTAGTTATCTTGTAGCGTTTCTGAAAAACTGGTTTTCCAGAAAATCGGATCCTCGAAGAGCTAAGGTGAATTCCTATGGTCATACTCGAGATCAGCATGATCGATAACCCAATAGATTTCTATCAAAAGGCGTTTTATCACCTCGACAGATTCCCTATAAGTCCTCAAATTGATTCTCGATTGTTGCCAGACACCCTGTAAGTTTTTACTAGTCTGCCTCATGTTTATCTTTCGATGACTAATTAAACGTTGGGAAGTCTCTACTCAAATCTAACATTAGAAATTCATGATTACTTAACTGACCTTGGATAAGATAACATAGAATAGCATCACCACTTTGTTTTAATGCAAATGTCACCTCCGTTCCTTCTTCTTCTGGTATTGTAACATACTCTAGATCGTACGCTGATGCACGAATATATCGATTGCTTTTAACATCTTTTAATAATAAGTCAGTCGGTCGAATAACCAAACATTCAATCGGTGCTTCTCTTGAACGATGAATAAATACCGTTTGACCTTCTAAATTATTTGCTTTTGTCACAGCAGTTTGTGTTGCAACTGGTAAACCTTCAACACTTAAACTACCCTGTACAATCTGTTCATAGACTTCTCGTGGAAAATACATTTTAAAATTCTAAAATGTATAAAAAGAAGCGAGTTTAATGAAAGAAAAAAAGAAAAAGAAAAGTTTACCTGTGGTGCATTGAATTTTTCTCGAATTTCACTAAATGATGGATAGATTCTTAATTCTGTAAAACTAGGAAATATTTTATCCTTGTCTTTGGCTGAATTTCCAGAAGAAGATGATACGTGAGATGAATTATCCATACTAGTTTTTAACAAAAGATTTATCTTAAAATAACAATAATTAGTCAGTAAAAAAACTGTAAATCTCTAGTTCGTTTGTAAGAAGAACGAAGAAACACGTGGGTATGTTAGGAAGCGTAGAAAATCTCATTCTCTGAGGAAGTTCAATTACAGTGGAAAAAGTTTGCGTCTAAAAAGTCTTTGGATAGTGTGGAAAACTCAGCATTTCTCTTTCAAACAAATTTCAAACAAATGCATAAAAGAAGGAGAATTTTTTGAATCAGGAAAAATCGCAAAAGGAATTTTTCTTTCCAAGGACGGCGCGTACCCGGCAATCGATCGACTTCGTTCGATCTCGTTACTTCCAAATTTAGGAAAAGTCTTAGAAAGGGTAATAGTTGCGCGGATAGAAAAATGGTGCTTAGCTCAAGGAATACACTGTGATGAGCAGTCCGGTTTTACCGCCAACAAGAGACTTCAGACGAGAATTTTGGGCGTAGCGGAAGATATCAGGTTAACTGTTGCTGCCCTTAATAGGCCGGCACTCAGTATTTTCGTTGACTTCTCGACTGCTTTTGATCGTTTGTGGTATGCCGCGTTTATGCGTACGTTAGAAAAATTAGAACTGCCGCTGGAGTTAAGAAAATGGATTTTTAACTGGTCTCAGAAGCGGAAAATGTACGTAAGTTTTGGAGAAGCTAAATCGCGTTTATTCGAAATTTTAATTGGAGTGCCTCAAGGAAGTGTTCTTGCAGCACTTTTATTCCGCTTACATGTTCATTTTCTACCAAGTTACTTTCCTCAAATTGTGGCAGCCTTGTTCGCAGACGACCTTAATATGCTCTTGAAAGGTGCTTTAGAATTGAGGCTTAGCGAAAATATTGACTACTTGGAAAAACAGGCAAAGGTTGCTTTAAAGCTTTGAAAAAGTTTTCAGAAGACCATCTTCTCCCAGTTAATGTTAGCAAAACTAAAGCAATGCTAATACACAGCGCTGTTTCCTGCAAAAAACCAAGCATTGAATATAAAGGTGCAAAAATCGAATATGTAAAGTCTTTCAAGTATTTGGGGGTTGAGTTTGGCACTAAATTGGTATGGGGTAACCACATAGATACGAGGCTTAAAAAAGTTAGATCAGCCTATGCTGGCCTAAGGAAGCTTTTTTATACAATTCCAAAAAGCGAAGTTAAGATCCGAAGACGTTTGTTCTGTGCGTTTGCCTTACCTCACTTTACCTGGCTCTTCTCCACTCGGTTTTATTTCACAGAAAAACAGAAAGAAAAGATAGAGCACGTTTACTGTACGGGTCTGCGCTTGGTTTACTCGCTCTGGGGATATGATAACTTGACGACCGTGGCTTTGACTCGCGAAATTACGCTCAGAGATTTTATGTTTAAATATTGGCTCCGGTTTCAAAAACATCTAGAAACCTCTCCAGAAGCGGAAGCGTACCGTTTAACTTGGAACGCATATCAAATAGCTACATCGCACTCCAAAGAGCACTATGCAAGTATGGAATTTCGGAAAAATGGAAAAAGCAGTTTTTTCCCTGATAGATTGGTTGACCGAGCGAAGCATACTTATACTGATGTCTACTCTTTTCTCGCTATTCAAAGATCTCAGTACGGTTACTTTAAAAAAACATCTTCCTACTTAGAGTTTTTTGTATTAAAGTATTTTTCTGAGGAACCGCTGTAGAAACTCATCATGCTGTTTTTTTTTTCTGTTGTAAAAATTGTTTAAAAGAAGATATAAACTGTTAAAAAGTCACCTCTGTCCTATTTTGATGTATTTATCTTTTCGCTATCGATTTATTGTGTTACTATTCTAGTTTCTGTGTAAGAGTGAGAGAGAATGGTGTGTTTTGTATCGTAGAGTTAGGTCATATCCTTGAGTCATTTTATTTCTTAATCTTCTCCCTTTGAATACATAATTATTTGTAAAATCAAATATAAAATCTGTGCGAGAAACTTCTGTAACTCTTTTTACTAATTGTTAACCTTTTTAAAGGAACAATAAACTGTATGTTAAAAAAAAAAAAAAAATCTCATTCTCTGACGTTATGTTCTCGTTCTCTGATGTAAATATCTTTGTTAATAAAATATGAAAACATAATTCATTGTTGGCATTGACACAAAGAAGGATACAAGTTACATATAAAAACGCTACGTAACAGGTATCATCCATTTTATCCTGAATCTATAATGATATCGAAATTTTTAGACAATTCTATGCTAGATTTCGTTATTCTACCTACGTCTGTGTAATTCAGATTTATAACAGTAAGTTGAGTATGCAGAGCGATACAGTTTTTCACACGCTTGTGAATATGATGATGCAAATATTCTCTGCTTAATTTGTTTGATAGCCAAAATCGTAAGTTGCGGGAAAATGAACAAGTTTCGACGTGCATGTGTCTCAACGTATCAACATAACCAGAGTTTAGCAGTTCGGAAATCTTCCAACTTGTTATTCAGATTTTATCATGATACTTACACCAACAGAAGATACGAGCAACATATGTTGTACAATTAAAACGTAATGGCTTAAAAATAATCAACAATGATCGTTCAGAAGTAACCACTATCATACAAAAATTGAGCAAAACTATTATTTCCAATTCAATTCCACAATCATCACACAACAAAAGTTTCAACTCGATTCAACACTAAAGCTGAGTTTAAGTTGAGTCTTTTTGATTCCAGTTGCCCATCTGTATGTAATCGAAACAAGTCCTACTTTCGTCATAATCCATCGTCTATAGTGCAGAATGTCGTATCATCTTTTGTCCATCGGAAACTTTGTCAATAGATTTAACTGCACATAAAACGTATTTGACAAAACATCTCACACAACCTGACAAATTTCTAATATCAATCTGACATTCTCTTCAAATATATAGATATGTTTCCTACTTTATTACTGTAAAAATAATTAATTATATTAACAAAGTATTTGAGTTCACAACTACATACCATGGAACGAACTAATAGTTAAGAATTTCACTAGGTCAAACAAAAATAATAATATTGTTTTGATGACATTTTCTTTCTTTTACCTCGACAAATGTGCTGAATAATAATATATTTTCCTTTTTCTTTTATTTATATAAAAACCACTACAAAAAAGAAGTATATACTGTGATACACCAAAGTTGATCATTTTTTCCTTTTCGTTCTTCGTTTGTGCTTCATAAATTCTATTCATTATATAAAGTAATTTTTACGATGAATAACATAGCAAATTTATTTTACCCACGATGAAAAGAATAGAAGAAAAAAAAATATGATTGCTTTTTTCTTTTCTATTACCCATACGCACGGCAAACATACATATATGTTCGATAAAATTATGTTCACTCACCACATATAATTTATGTAGTTGTAACTAATTGCAGTTATAAATTAGTTTGAGCCTTCTATATATTCAGTTTTATGGCACATAAATAATCAATATTTTTGAAAACATTTACATTGCTAGCAGTAATAATAAAGACTAATAAATAACAGTCTCAATCTATTTGATGTGTCGATAGAATCAGTGACAAGTTTAGTCTCATATGGTACTGGGGAACAAAAAATGATTTGTATATATCATTCTTTAGCTAGATGAAAAAGAAAATATATTATAAACAGAGAATTTACATCATATATATTTCTTCAGTTTATTCTTTATCTTATAGATCTTATACTTCTTACCCTCTTGACATTAGTTTGGGTCATAAAATGGAAAATGTTTCTATGTCTGTGTGTCCACACGAGAAATTCAAAAGTAGAGTAATTCGAGAGACAAACGGTCGACCTAATAAAACTTATGGACCAGAGGTGATTTCACCTGGAGAATCGGATGATCTCACTATAGGACTTCCACGAATGACTTCACATGATCTTCAGAAACCCTTCAGGTTTCTATCGATTTCTCAGTTTAGTTGGATCTAGTGAACACTTGAGTATCTATCTCCAGGAGACCTTTGGAAAACTTTTGGTTTATACTATTTTTTGAAATTCTGACAATGTAACATAAAACTGGGTAACATATGATGCAAAAGTACTGGCAATAATGTCAAACTCTGTTAGACCGTATTGTTGACTTCTAGACCAATCAAACTTTTTTTGTTAGAAAGAGCAAAGTCTGAACTACAAGTTTTGTACCAGACATATTTTTTCCAGAACGAATCTGAGAAGGAGGAAAGTCAAAAACTAAACACCTCTGAAAAAGTCCTTGCAACTTCGCTATGTAGCAACATCATTTTCTATTTTCTATTAGTGTTTTTTCATCAGAAGAGAAATGAGAAAACACGTTAAATGATGATTTTTGTAGCATAAAGAGTGCTAATTCCAATGGTATATTGGAAGTTAAATTTATTTTTTATTTTTGTACCAGAATACAGCTTTTTCTGAAAGAGCCTAAATAAATTGGTCGTTCTTACAACCTGGCCGTTTTGCAACAATAAAAAATCTTTTTTTGAATTATTATTTTTTTTGCTACAATCAGACATATTTCTAACAAATACCGCAAAAAGAATTGAGTTCATGCAAGATTTCTGAAGGTGATCGCTGATTTTCTTACAAAGTGATAGTTTTGCAAAAGATTCAATTTTACAAAAAAATTCATGTTAAAAACGTTTTTGATAAAGAATCAAGAACAGATGTTGATATCGATAGAGTTTTTTATCCGCTACAGTGTGGTGTATTTTTGTTTTTGATATCTGCCTGCGTTCATTAGCTACTTATAACAAAGTAAATCAGAAGCAAAATTTTTGTCGAAATGGTTAAACTTAGACATTCACTTAGTTTATTCATATAGTCATGAACTGTTAGTTTATTGCACCATTGTATCTGATGGAGTTCTGTCGCTTTAATCTATCGTTACTATATCGTTGTTCGCTCAAATTTTAGGGAATACTGGCTTCACTAAGAATTACAGAATATAGAGATTGTTTTTGCTTAATTTGATATCGAGTTGTTTTTGCACTCAAATAAAATTACCAATTTCACTTCATAAACGGAAGTAATGCCATCACTCATTGAGAAACTTGCCCAAGTATTCTCTCGCTTTTCTCGAATCTACTCAATTAACGGCTTATATTTATGATGATTACAATTATTCTCAATTTCTGGCCATATGGCTTTTTCATTTAGATGTCATTTCGATGAAACCCGAACCCCAGAACCTCGACTTCCTGATTCGCTTAGTGACTTTTCTGGACATAACTTAGTCAAACAAACGTTCGCAACAACATGAATCGCCTTCACGCTAGACTGTCAACTGTGTGACAAGACTGCACAATCCTAATTTGATTTACATGTCAACGCACAGATGATTTTTTCTTGAGGTGTTGCCAAATTGAGACTAGTGGGGTTTTGCTCGACCTTTCAATCAGCCTTTGAAAAAATGTTATTAGTATCAAAAATAGATAGAAAAACATGCGTTACATGAAAAAGTTAATCATTGAATAGAATCAACAATGTACGTGGATTATTCAGCATTCTTTCCCTTCTTCTCGCTTTCGCAATAACGATACACGTGAATAAGCAAGAAATCTGTGACATTAAGATATCAGTGTCAGTAACATATCAACACATAGGTGATTTTTTCTTGAGGGATTGCCAACTTGAGACTAGTGGGATTTTGCTCGACCTTTGACTCAACTGTACAATACTATTGAAGTTGTTGCGGTTACCGTTCTCAATGTTTTTAGTAAAATATTTATTCATTACCATAAGTCACTTGTGGCAAATTTTGTGTATATATTGATATCATCGTCGTCTATAACACTTGAACAAGCAAGAAATCTGTGACATTGAGACATCAGTGTCAGTAATAAAGCAAAGTAGGATTGTGCAATCTTCTCACACAGTTGAAATATAACATCCTAGCAACTTTATTAGGGACCCTCTACCAAAGTTTCATCGCCAAGCTTTGATGAGGGTGGGAATAGAAAAGTGGAAAATAAGCCATTCGCATTTCTCTATATTTAGTTCAATCAAATGTCTATCACATTGCTCTTGAATTTTCTTCACTTCCTTTCTTACGGATGTTAAATTGTCGTTAATACATGGGCACATCTCTAGCAGATAGAGAGCAAAAAAAAACATTGTTTCGAAGGATTATAGATCAAATCGTTGTGTAAAATAATATTTCCCTGAGGAGAAGACATTTTATTAACGCACATACACCGATACAATTTTGGAGTATTAATACAATTCTATTATTAATTATGCTAAATGATACTCATTCGCTTGCTAAACGTTACATTTAATTCATTTGAAAAGGTGTCACGTTGTTGACTGACGATTTGTTTATGAAATACACTTAAATGTACCAGGAGGCAATCAGATTATCGTGGTGTATATATCATCTCGTGCTTCTTTAAAAAAAATGTTATTAGTATCAAAAACAGATAGAAAAACATGCGTTACATGAAAAAGTTAATCATTGAATAGAATCAACAATGTACGTTGATTATTCAGCATTCTTTCCCTTCTTCTCGCTTTCGCAATAATGATAAAATAATACATGTAACAGCAGCTACTTAAAATGTAAGAATAGCGTTGTAAAATGCAGCGATAGATGTTCACAATCATCATAGTTGATAATAGGATGGTTCTGATACATTCGGCACCGTGTGTTAGTAGTAACCCCTATTATAACTATGTGAGTTTCGTTTTACTATGCGCTATTATAATACCCGTAACACTGTTCATAATTGAAATATATCAACAATTTTCAATTATTATTCGATTACATTCAACGATCTCAGGTTACTGTAGTGATCCAAGAGGTTATGGTAGTCGATTGCTATTATGTATTACGTTTCTCATCGGATATGTACTGGTTAATTTATTAATCGAAGAACAGCAACAACAGAAAAATATGTTAAAATTTCTATTACAATCAACTGTGTCAATGTGTCTACCTTTAGTGGGCATATTTTACACTCGTGGTAAAGGTCTTGCTCGAAATGAATACTTTCAGTTTGGTATTACAAGAAGAATTCCAATTTTCATCAGTGAACTCATTCATGTTGTAGCAGCTCTCGGTTGGGTATTTGTTTTTACCTACTTTAATTTGGAATATAGCATCTCCCTATTGATAAATAAACATTATCCTAAGTATGATTATGTTTATTTTACTTTATCATGTTTAGTTATGTTACTCACCATACTATTTATTATAATCCAATGTATAATAATGATTCATAATAGTGATCATGTCAGTACAGAAGAATTTTACTGTCCAGATTGTACCACGACAGAAGCTTATGAGGAAAATCGATCGTTCTTTACACTGAATGAATCAACCACTCAAATTTTACATCAAAATGCATGTCGTCGATGTTTTCGTTTGTCACCAATGGAAGCGAGCTCGCTAACAAATGATGGCCAAGAGTTAAGAATAGCAATTGTTTTACAGGCAATACCAGAGACAAATATTTTTAGTTGGATTAAATTTCATATCTGTTGTGGCCAAAACAGATACATTAGACCATCGTCATATATAAAATGTCATGTAATTAGTTTTATTCTTGAATTAGTTATTTTCTTTGGTACTGCTGGTCTAGCTATTGGAGGATGTTTTATGAGAAAATATGAGAATTGTCTGTAGTTTTTTGAGTAATACATAAATAAAATGAAGAAATTCACCGCACATTTTGTATTTGAAGAATACGCTGTTGTTCATCAACTTATAATCATCCAATTAATTTGACATACTAGGAGTTTTCAGGAAGATCTCAGTTTGTTTATACTTTGTCACTTTGTAGAGCACATGAGATTACACATAATCTGATATTTTTAGATGTTTAAAACAAATAAATATACAGACAAACAAATCTATAACTCGTCATGCTGTACTCGTTTGCATGAATTATATTTGAAAACGCTTGAGAAACGTTCATATCTCTTTTTCAAAAGTAATAATACTATATTTTGTGTGTGTGATGTTGGTGCAAAATCTCAAACATTATACGTTGATACATAATGCATTTTTTCAACCACGGAAACTAAACACTGTCGAAATTAGGGATGAGATAGCTCTAGTTCTCTTAAGAATGTTCGAAAGAATCGATTGTCAGTTCAGCTCTTTGACGAGGAATTGTTAACAGTTCTATTTCATTTATCTACAGCATTTCACGTTTATTTGTAGCTTCATTCTGCAATATAATCTGAAATTTCACAAGAAAATAGAAAGATACAAAGCTGAAATTTCAGTCATTCCTAGAAGATCCTGTAAGCTATTTATGGTAAAAGTTTGAGTGAAATCGGACGAGTCCTGTGAGAATTATAGAAGAAACAATTTCGAAAAATTTTTTAGTTTCAAGGTGTGTAGAAAAACCCTTTTCACATTTTATTACCATTCTAAAGAGACTCTATACGAAAACTAAAAACAATTTTCTAAACCGTTTACCTTTTGGTCGTTTTATTTTGTCTGAAAAAATGTTTCCTTAAGTCGCGAGAACCGTTTCTGATTTGTAGCTTCATTTGTGCGTAAAAGTGTTTTGTGCATGTTCGAGAAGGAAAAAGTAAACAAAACCAGACGTAAATCATATGGTTGGATAGAGAAGCGAAAGCTCTACCAAACATGCTACTTTTTTTTGATTTTTCTTTCTTTTCTTAAAAAAAATCCATTTTCTGTGGATGAGTCATCGAAAAAACGGATATTTTTGACTTTTGACCTACGGATCTCAGTGAGTTGATGAAATATCGTTGCGAAATTTTCTCATACGTGTAAAGCTCGAAGAGACACTTCAACTATCCAAAAGTTGAAAATAATTTTCAACTTTTGGAATAGACTATCTATATTTTCAACTTTCAATCTATTATTTCAACTATTCAACTTTTGATATTCTCTCTTCAACTATTCAACTATTCAATTATTCAACTTTTGATATTCTCTCTTCAACTATTCAACTATTCAATTATTCAACTTT